ATAGAAAATTAGTATAAAGCGACTATACTTCTTGAGCTCGATATTTAACTGGGGCCTTCATATATAAATATATATAAAAATGTCAAGAATATCAACCGTTCTTATTAAACCTGTTAATGTCTATAGAAAATTAGTATAAAGCGACTATACTTCTTGAGCTCGATATTTAACTGGGGCCTTCATATTAGCATTTAATGTTCACATTAATTCTTGCATCAGTTTCGCGAGTACTAATGACATCTATTTCAAACTAACCTACTATATTTCAACAAATGATCTATTAATATTTGTAATAGTTTCAAATTCTTTTCCGCACATTTCACCTATAATATCTCTAACAACGTTCATCGTAAGAGACCTCTTCACTCATGCGTTCAGTGAGATTTTTAAAGTATAAAGGATTTTTTTACATCTTACATATCTTTCGTAATGATGGAAGAATCCTTTGGCCTCTGCAAGCCATCCTTTGGTTAGTTCGCGATAAAGTAATTTTCTGGTCGAACTACGATACTGTTAGTTTAATTTGGAATATATTACTTCTTATCTTAGTACCACCTGGAAAACTTGGCTAGTTTTCTCTAAAACTTATCTGTTATACCTCATCATTTAGACACATTACTTATTTAATTTAGTCGAGTGTAAGGTTTGAGATTTGACTTTTTCTACTATATAAAAGAAAAAATACGGGATTGAGAAACGTGATATTACAGAAAGAATATTATTAATACACATTTTTTACATTTAATTCTTTGTGTAATAAATAATATTTATTTTTATTATACCATAAAAAATATTCCTAATTTGATAAAATGTTCTTGTACAAACAGAATGAGATGGTTTAAAATGAACAGACATTTTTCAGCATCAATTATTCTCATGAAGTATAGATTTTGTTTCGTACTGGTGGTTCATGCTGTTTCAAAACGAAATTTTCTAGAAATATTATTCTTTCAAATAACTAACCTTTCAATGAAGAGGGTTTAATGTTATTTATATTCTACGCTTTACTGTGATTAAACAAGAAAAAGCAAGGTTAAGTAGAATGGTTTTTAATGAACTTAACAAAGTTTTTGATTTCCCTTATCAGTTTGATATGTTTTTAATGATATACAGAATCGTTACTGCTATTTAAAGCTTCTTTATTCCGTTATTGGCTAAGATAAATCTAAGGGTATCACGCTTATGACAGTCCAGAGATGTCTTGGATCCAAACCTTCAACTTACATCAAACTATATGGCACTTCTTCAACAAAGATAAGAAGAGGAGATTGTAAAAACAATGCAAAATATAGAAGAAAAAAAGACGCCTTAGTTTAAACTAAAATGTTGAATTTAATTATCAGAAAGCTTTCTTGAAGTCATTTTCTCATCCGCGTCTATTAAAGTCTGAAACCCCCTCTTTTAAAACATATCTACATTCATATAATGACGTAGTTTTGATATTGAGATTATTAACATTCCAAAGTTCTTCCTGTCATCTTATCTGTAATGTACGTGGTTTTTTCTTGGAGAATTGAACTTCACAACAAACATCATTGTTCCTCACTATCTGTATAGCGGAGTTTTTAAAGACCTTCTGAAAATCAATACACCAAACTTTTTCTGGTTTCCTACGAAATATCGCCTGACGTGCTTCTGTCACCTTTTCTAATTAACTCTCCTCTTATCGACATGGAAATAAGCAAGTAATTTACCCCTTGTCTTTTTACTCGGTGTTGGAATAATTAAGCTTTCCCCCTTCAGGCTTTTTAGTCCGTGTAGTTTCCGCAAGAAAATGAGAAAAACTTTCCACTTGGCAACTTGACAAGTTTCCCTTACAAACGCTTGACTCTTAACTTGACACCGGTTCTCTTCTTCTTGTAAAAGAAACAAAAACTGCCATCTAGCGGCGAGTTGATGTATTTGTGCTTATAAAGCAAGATTTATGCTTAGAATGATTTGAAAATATCTCCAAACCCATATCTGTGGTTTGAAATTATAACTAAGAAAATAAAGTATTGAACTCGGTTTTTGTTTCCTACAATCATATAAAAACGCGTTTTTTTATTCATAAAATAATTTTCACTCATTAAATGTTAAAATGATTATCTAAGCTCTTGACAATACTCTAACGAGCTTTGATCTTTATAATACATAAAATTCCTGACTATGTGAGCACCTGTCACAAGAAGGAGACTAATCTACACTCCACCTAACATGACACACATTGTGCTTTTATAGTTTTGAACAAACTTACCTAACATGACTCACATTGTGCTTTTATAGTTTTGAACAAACTTACCTAACATGACTCACATTATGCTACTATAGTTTTGAAAGAATCCACCTAACATGACCCACATCATACTACTATAGTCTTGAACGAATCCACCTAACGTGACTCACATTATGCTACTATAGTCTTGAACGAATCCACCTAACATGAGTCACATTATGCTACTATAGTCTTGAACGAATCCACCTAACATAACATGACTCAAATTGTGCTGCTATAGTCTTGAACGAATTCACCTAACATGAATCATATCATGCTACTATAGTCTTGAACGAATCCACCTAACATGACTCACATTATGCTACTATAGTCTTGAACGAATCCACCTAAAATGACTCATATTATGCTACTATAATCTTGAACGAATCCACCTAACATGAATCACATTGTGTTACTATAGTCTTGAACCAATCCACCTAACATGACTCATATTATGCTACTATAGTCTTGAACGAATCCACCTAACATAACATGACTCAAATTGTGCCGCTATAGTCTTGAACGAACTTACCTAACATGAATCACAATGTGCTACTATAGACTTGATATATCTTTTCATGGTCGATTAAGTTTGTCTTAACAATCTCGTAAAGTTGTTCAGAAAACCTTTGAATGTTTTGTGATTTTTAATGAAAAGTAAACCCTTATAAATGTTTGTTAGTTTTAAATTCTTGTCAACTAATACATTCTAGCAGATTTTTTATTTTAGCCGTAAATTTTTAAAATCAACTTTTAAAGAATCTGACGCAATTTTCTTTACATCACAACAGTCATGTGCTGAATATGGAAATATAATAGCGCATTAATGTTTCGAAAAAATGAGATTCTTGTTTCTGTGGTAGTAACAAAGTATTAACAGTAATATTATAAGTGAAAATTGATTAAATTCGGGAAAATGTATCGGGAGAACTGTGAAATTCGTGGTCATTATATGTGATTAAAGACATGTCATCACATTAAATATCGAATGGTAGGTACTCATAAACACAGTGGTCATGTTTTAAAACATTATTTACACAGTACAATTAGTTATTCTTCAGAAACACATTTAAACATCATCACACGTAACTGATGTAAAACGATCCTACGTCAGACAGAGTGTTAAGTTACAGTTAAATGTGACTATATGAAATTAGAAATGTATTCTTTGTTCTAGGTTTGATGACAGTGTGATATACTTTTTACATGTGTGGCTCTGACCTCGACTTTGATTATCAGATGTTTATCAACGATTCATGTGCTCAACCTGTTGATCTCTCCTATCATGAGTAAGCTTCATCTTTTTTTTTTAAAATAAAACGTTATCAAACGTTAAAGAGAACAGATAAGGTGCTGTATTCAGTTCACAGGGAAATATTTTCTATTTTATAAGAAAATAACTCTGATCTTAGATGAACCTTAAAATGCATGACTCTTAAATATAATTAAAATATTTACATTTTTCGAAGCTATATATCTATAATAGTGAAAGTTTTCCAGTGTTAATATCCTATAATTCAGATAATTATGGGTGAGCTTAAGTACAGCCCAGTTCCTTTTGTTAAAACACTGGGCGCCCCTAATACTTCTTTGTGGGTTTTATTTTGAATTATTGATTAAGTAAAAAAAAGCATTAATTGCTTAACTTTACCTAAGTGAATAAAATTTAGAAAGAATGCTGAACAGAGAAGTGACCCTTTTGCGTATTTCACTTACAAACTGTCTAATTACAATTTTGATGGTTGAGATGCAGCTTCAAATCTGTATTTGAAAAATCCTTTAATTCAAGCATTTTTCTTTTAAAATCACAATATTGTTAATATCTTTGGTATGTTTTTATGAAAAAACGTATTAATTTATACGTCCCGCGGTGGGACAGCGGTAAGTCTTCGGATTTCTAACGTTAAAATGAAGGATTCGATTCCCGTTGGTGGACACGGCAGATAGCCCGATGTGGCTTTGCTATAAGAAAACACACATATATTAATTTATATATGAATCAAACTTAGGCATATGGTGTGAAACGGGTGGACCACAAAATGATATTTAATATTTAGTTTTCTATTCTGTGAGATTATTGTAATTGGTGTAATTACAATAAACAATAATGTATAAGCCACAATACTATACTCTTTGGATACTAATTATTCTTTAATTGTTTACCCTTCCATTTTTTTCTACCTTTAGACCTGTTGGCTCTTTAGCAAAGACTGAAGGACTGAGTTGTATCACTGGTCCATTTAGACGTTCGGAGAAATGCTCATTACATTCGAATGATTGCTTTTGGTTCTGCCCAGTTGATAGTTATACACGACACGCAATTCTGATGATTATAAAGTATAATAACGAGAAGAATGCAAATTACATTTTATTGAATTGATTCTCTTACATGGAAACTAAAGAATTAACAGTATTATTTTTCTTATTTATGTATTTAACGCTAAGAACATTTTATTGAGAAACATAACGTGTACGTTTCACGAGTACGTTGATCTTTCTTAATACTAGTTTCTTGTTTCTTTAGAAGATAAGGAAGCGAAAAAGAAGCTACAAAACACAAAATAAATTGCAACCCTTTTTCTCTACTTGATATGCATGCCTATCCTCGAAGCATTACAATGGTACAGGAAAGCAAACCTGCTGAAGACTTATCAATTTCCAAGCTTTATATTGTTATTATTATCTAATTATCTTATTGAAAGATCGCTCTTGGGGAATGTTAGTGTACGTAAAAGCTAGTATGCAGGGTTCTGCGTGACGAGGTTCGTTTAGTGAACACCATCAACGTTTGTTTGACATGAGTTTGAACCCGAACTGTTCCTGTAAAAAAATCAACCCATAAATCAACTCGTGTTAGATTAAGACTAAACACATTCGATTGCCTAGTTTGTGTTCTTTCTTCAAATAAAGTTCCTTTAGTCTACGAATGCTGATTTTGGTAATTTTCTTAACATAGTAAATAATTTTCACAATAATGTTTGTTAAATTAAATTAACAGATTGTATAAGAATTGAAACAAAAAAATGGAATCTGACAAAAGACAACATCAACTATAATTGTGAGATAATCCATCTATCTATCTGTCGATATATATATATATATATATAAGCTCCGCGACTGATCTTCTGAGATACTTATCACAAGATGTCAAGCATGTGCTCCTATCATGAGGACATCATGCTTATCACAAAATATCAAGCATAGGCTCCTATCATGAAGACATCATGCTTATTACAAAATGTCAAGCATAGGCTCCTATCATGAAGACATCATGCTTATTACAAAATGTCAAGCATGTGCTCCTATCATGAGGACACCATACTTATTACAAAATGTCAAGCATAGGCTCCTATCATGAAGACATCATGCTTATTACAAAATGTCAAGCATAGGCTCCTATCATGAAGACATCATGCTTATTACAAAATGTCAAGCATAGGCTCCTATCATGAAGACATCATGCTTATTACAAAATGTCAAGCATGGGCTCTTATCATGAAGACACCTAGTTTGAAGGTGACCCAGGTTATATTCTAAAAAAGTAAAGTGAAGAAAATAGCATTTGTTGTGTATCAGTGACCTTCAAGATAAGACAGGTAAGTAATTAGTGAGAACGGGATTACTATTAATGTACATTGAGTTACTGCGTTACATTCTAAATATGTAAACTGAAGAAAATAGCATTTGTTGTGTATCAGTGACCTTCAAGATAAGACAGGTAAGTAATTAGTGAAGACGGGATTACTATTAATGTACGTTGAGTTACTGCGTTACATTCTATGTGCAAACTGAAGACAGTGGTGTTTCTTTCCACGCACTTGGTGGACTTTAATGTGTTTTTGTGACGATCATGCAATATATAGAACAATAACAGGACATATATACTAAGATTCTTGCATTTTCTGACCACCTCTTTGGGTTATGTAAGTTAACTGGTTAGGTTGAAATCATATAAGCACGGGGTATTCGTGTGATCAGTAAAATTAGCCTTAACTGAAAAGACGATAATGTTAAATTTAGAGAATATTGTCGCAGTAAAATCAAGACAGTACTAAAAGCAGAGCTAGGACTAGATATATCCTCACTCTACAAAGTAAGACATCATCTCATGCTCGGTCAACTCTCCCACGGAATATATCCCATCACGTATCCATTGCCAGGTTCAGTAGAGAGAAATCTATTTCCGTCTCTGGTTGCACGTGCTATCAGAGGAAACCAGGCCTGTCAATCTGCACGCGCTCGGTTTCCCGCGGGATTAGCGTCACAAACGCGAACGAAAATTGAAAATTCCTCCCAAATGAGGTGCCATTCTTCTCGGTCGCGGCGCGACGCGACATCCGGGTTTAATCCAGATGAGCACGCTAGAGAGCCTTTCGTCCTGCAAACTGTGTGAATAGGTATGTTGATTTCTGTAGTCGCTTCATCTTCTCAACACGACTAGCAGGAGCTTTTTTCATTAGCTATGTTGGCTGCAGGCATTGGAAAACACTCTGCTGGTGGTCTAAGTTATAAAACGCCACCTATCAACTGACGGTGTCAAGTCAAGCCAAGTTTATAGCATTAACGATTCTAAAATAATTTCTCATGTTGGCTGAGGTTTCACGTCATAGCATTCATTTCTTGTCTAAATATGAAGGTGAAACTGTTCAAGTAAATAAGGAAGTCAGCTAGAACTTACAATCAAAGAAGGTTACACCACACAAGGAAAAATGTAAATTTATGGAAAATCCACGCTTAAATGGTTGTAAAAATATATTTCTTTCCACAAAATAAAAGGAACACGAAACTTCGGAAACAAAGCATGTAATGTAAAACCCCGAGAAACCGATTTCTTACGAATTAACTATTCTATGAATACACAGTATTTGTAGTTATAAAAGTAGCTGTGAAGGAGACAGGTAATAAAATATCAAGCTAGTAAGTTTTAATAATACTTAACACTGTTTATTACTCTTCATTGATTGTAAATCATGCGTGGTAATCTTAAAGAGAGAGAATTTGGCCTTTAAAAATTATGTATCACTGTATTTTTACAGCTTTTAAGAAGAACATAGTTGTAATGATTACCAGTTAGTTATAAATATATTTGCTTTCGTCTGTACGTATTAAAATTTTATCGAATCCTTTTCTAATTTAAATGCTCGAAACCAGCAATAATTTATTTTTCCGTTTGTTTGAATTATTCGTAAAAGATAATTTAGTCTTGGTTTTTTTTGTGTTCTTCCTTTATATTTCTTATAACTGACTGAGTGACCAACTGAAATTCTACAAAATTAGTCTCGGTGAAGTTTATGAGCTTAACAACTACATTGGAGTATATCCTTGGAGTAAAAACAGTTTTTCTATACACGCATGTATGATCAAATTGTATAATCATTCTAGCTTAGCATTTTATTATTATTATGTTTTTGTTATGTAATATTCCTGTATCAATACAGGATTGAACAAGATAATGTTCATCAGGAAACAAAATTAAACGGTTTGTTTTGATTGTGAATAAGTACAAAGATACACGGTGGGCTACTTGTTCTGTGCCCACTACCGGTATCTAAACTGAAATTTAACGTCGTAAGCCTGCAGACTTATCGATGAGCAAGTGGAGCAAATTAAATAGTATTTTAATAAAAACGAGCTTACACAACGCCTGTACCTTGTATCCAGTTTTTCTATTGGAGCTAACTTTCTACTTTCTTCTGGAGCCATTACTACGCTTATCAAACAATGACAGAAAATATAGTCGTCATCAGGCTTGATGAACAACGACCGAAAACATACACTAATCGTCATTAGGCTTAATGAACAACGACCGAAAACATACAATAGTCGTCATCAGGCTTAATGAACAACGACCGAAAACATACACTAGTCGTCACCAAGTTTGATTAACGATGATAGAAAAGACATACATTATTATGTATTGTTATATTTATACCATTGTTCCTGGAGTGAGCCGAAAGCTAGCTTCAAAATAAAAAAGGGGGAAAAAAAACTAGATGCAAGACATAACTAGAATCCGGGTTTCGTGGTGGGCAGAGCACAGATAGCCCATTGTGTAGCTTTGTGCTTAATTACAAACAAACAAAAGCAAGACATAAAAACTGGTATAAAAATACTTTTTTTTTTTAAATTGAAATAAATTTTAATTTGGTTCATCAAATCATCTACTTAAATAAGGAAGACTCTTCAAAATTTTGTTCATCAGAGTTATTCTATAAATGATTTTTTGGATGTGTGAGTTAACATATCCACAATGATTGATTTATTAAAACTGTACGACAGCAGCCAGACAACAAACCAGCCTGTCGGGAAATCCGGTTGCTGCCAATTCGTTTCTTATCAAAACAGTTCAATAACAACCTCAGGAAGCAACTTGACTTGTTATATGAGTGTAATCGCCTTGAAAAGATAGTCTCACAAAAAGGATTAAGAAACACACTTATGTTGGTGTAAGTAACTTTTTTTTTGGTAGATAATGAACCTTTGATTAAAAAAAGTTCAAAAGATTGCCCCGATAAAGGACAGTTTTTCACAGATCTCGATATAAATCAAGTTTCTATTAGATAAATAGTGAATTTGAACAGAATTCTCAAACAATACACAAATAATTTAAAATACAGAAGATAATTTATATTATTTGTTGTATATATCTTAAATGATGACGTTTTACTCAATCTAGACCTCGTATTCGTGTAACATGTTGAGCCCCCAGTGGCACAGCGGTATGTATGCGGACTTACAACGCTAGAAAACGGGTTTCGATACCCGTGGT